TGTTTATATACAATTCTTACATTTAGAACTCCTTAATCAGAAACTAAACATGAATTTGGTTTCAATATTTGCTTAGCAATTTATGAGTACAAAAATAGACAATATATATTTCCTAATATATTTATGCTTATTTACTTTAGATCAACCCAAAGTACTCAGCCCTATCGAAAAGCATTACCAGATAACTGTGACAATGTGCATTTTATAGGTGGAGTATTGCCTAGGATCTTAGGCTTCCCAGAATACCCATACTTCTAGGTAGTAAGGTCACACTGAACCGTGTGGTATTTAGCTTAAAGCACAATAGAGTGGACATGCAGAGTTCTGGTTAACAGCCCCCTCTTCCTAGTATGCGGTCACAGCATCCCATCTCTTTTCCTAGGCACCCCTCTTTTGTCTCTTTTATGGGCTTTGTTTTTGTTTAAAACCCAGTTTAGGGGCCTCCCCGGTGGCGCAGCGGTTGAGCGCTGGGTTGCGAAGCTGCCCGTGGCCTCTGCGGCGCCAGTTCCATCCCCGGCCGCTCCCCGGCCTCCGGGAGAGGGTCCCACATGGCGCGCAGACCTCTCCTGCCGCCCGCTGCTCCCCTCAGCAGTGTACTTCGGTCCTTCTGCCTGCTCTGCTCCCCGCTCTGGCTCTGGTGAATTCTCTCACCCTCGTGCGCTTCTGACTGTACCCTAGTGCTTATATAAATAAATAAATAAATCTTAAAAAAAATAATAAAAAAATTAAAAAATAATAAAACCCAGTTTAATACGATTCAATAAGAGTGCTTACAGGGCCACTCCATATTGAGGTATTTTATAACTAATATTGCTACACCTAGAGTTCAGAAACTTTTAAACTTCTCAAAATGAATCTTCAATATTGGACTTACAGGTAGTGTGCATGTTAGGTGACAATCTTTGAAGCCCAAGTCCCTCTTGGAAGGGACTATGAGCCTACCCAATTTTAGTGCATTTTAGGCAAAACCTTGTAAAAGCATATGAAAGCTCATTGTGGTACTGAATATTATTGAGACTTCTTTATGAGAAAAATATTTTTAAAAAGATACACTGAAAATAACTTTGTGAAATGCTGTCTGCAGAGAAATTTGTGATCTGATAAATTGTCCTTCTTTTAGAGTTGCACTGGCTGGCATGTAATGTGACAAAGTGAAGGACTACTTATGGAAAGAAATTTGCAACCGTCTATTAATAATGCCAATAGCTATAGCTTCATTTTTGTTGAACAATTGTGACATCTAGTGGTTCATCTAAGTAACTCCAAGAAATCATTTCATATGCCATGTTATTAAATTCATTTAAAAGCGAGAACCTGGGCCTCCCCGGTGGCGCCGGTTCGATCCCGGCTGCTCCCCGGCCACCAGAGGAGGGTCCCACATGGCGCGCAGACCTCTCCTGCCGCCCGCTGCTCCCCTCAGCAGTGTACTTCGGTCCTTCTGCCTGCTCTGCTCCCCTCTCTGGCTCTGGTGAATTCTCTCACCCTCCCGCGCTTCTGACTGTACTCAGTGCATGCATAAACAAAACAAAAAACAAACAAATAAATAAATAAAAACATGCCTCTATAAAAAAAATAAATAAAAGCGAGAACTTGCTATTGAAACATTTTTGTAACAAATGTCCTCTCATTCATATATATATATATATGCTTATAAGTAGTGGAACTCCTAAGTAAAAGAATGGATTTACTTGAATGTTGATATTGCCAATTCACCCTCCAAAGAAAGTTGTACCAATTGACACTTTTACTAATTGAGATTTTTTATATCATTCCAATAATGAATATTATAAATGCATTCACTTTTGTTTTAATTTTCATTTCCCTATGAATGGAGAAGTCCATCTTTATTATGACTTCTTTCTTTTGTTTTTGGTGTTTTGTTTGGCCACTTGAAGTTTCAAACCATACCATTGTCTCATTTTTAAAAACTTCCTAGTTCTTGGGCCTCCCTGGTGGCGCAGAGGGTTAAGTGCAGTACTGTGAAGCTGTCCGCAACCTCTGCAGCATCGGTTCGATCCCAGCCGGCCTCGGAGCAACCCACATGGCAAGCAGACCTCTCCTGTCTTGCCTGCAGCTCCCCTCAGCAGTGTATTTCATCAGTCTGCCTTTTTTGCTCCCCGTTCTGTCTCTGGTGAATCCTCTCACCCTCCCCCGCATCTGGATTGTTCCCAGTTCTTGTGTAAAAAAAAAAAACAACTTAAAAAAAAAACTTACTAGTTCTTGAGCATCTTTTTTTTATTTGTAAAAGGTGTTTACATATTGGGGAAATTCATCATTTATCTGCCCTTTGCAGTGAAAATATTTTTCCAGTTTGTCACTTATCATTAATACTTTTTGACTGTTTTTTTGCTTTGCAAGATTAAAATATTTACATTGTTGGATGTATTCATTTTTCTCTTTATAAACTTAGTTTTTTGTCTTATTTTAAATGGCTATCTCTTCTCCCAGAGGATAAAATTTTAAAATAGTGTAAGTTTATTTATGTTAACATAATCATGCATGTTATTTATACTTCATTTTTTTACATTTGTCTTTCATCTCTCTGGCATGATTGCAAAATAGATAAGGTAGGGCTCAAACTTTGTTTCCTCCCAGCAACGTAAAGGAAATTGATGTAAATATAATTTTTAAGAAGAGACATGAGAAAAAATATCAAGAATATGCAAATAGTAAAATGGCGATGACTCCTTTTGTGTAGAAAATAATGTTCCTGTAAACACACAGAAAATATCTGAAAGCATACACACATATGTGTATATGTGCACACACACAGCTATGAACAGCAGAAACTTCAGGTTCATATTTGATAGTGGTGAGATAAGTAGGCTCTTAATTTTGTCTATACAATTCTCTACTATTTGAACCTATTAACACAACATGAATTACATGTTATAAAATTATTTTAATGGAATCTTTAATAATATCAAGGACTTAGAGTCTGTAATTAATTGGGAAAGCTAGTTATAAAACAATAAGCAAAACCTGATTCCACTTTAGAAGGGAATCCATACAAAGAAAAAAGACTGGACAGATACACACCAACATGGGTGAGATCATTATAAACATTTTGATGGATATCCTCCTAAACTAAATTCCTGTGTACAGATCTCTAAAGTAAGATACTTCAGCTATAATTTCACGTAGGTGATGTTTTACTTGCCCAAAGACTTAGCACTACCTTCCTCTCCCCAGAGGGCACTCTTCCCTACTCCAGTGACCCTTTCATGCTTAAAAAGTTTTATTCATCAGGCATTATGTAATAAGATAGTATACTACATTAATACCTTTAAAAGAAGAAATTTCTGGTTCATGAAATCAGAAGATAATTGGCTACAAATTCTTCCCTCCAATTTCAGTGATATAAGGCCTCTTAATCCTTGGACTTCTCTGTAATTGACAGGTTTCATTTACTTTCTATGTGGAATAAGTAGCAAATACTCGGACATTCTTTGAATTCTTTGTTCCAGAAAGGATTAAAGTAATTAATAAAAAACACAAAGTTTGAAAAGAGATAAAATGTAAAATAAATGGTTGAAGAAATCAGGACAAAGAAAATGTGAGGGGAAAGATGAAATGAAATCACAATATGAAACTATCCCTGGGGGACCAACACTCTTCTTGAGTGTGGTATTAACTCTTCTAAGGAGCTCTAGCATCTTCCAAGAAAGAGGCCAGATTTGGGGTGCGGCAAACTGTCCTAAGATGGGGTTCAGAGGGAAATTCCTCCAGTGCATGAAGGTTATGTATGATGATAACAATGACAACAGCATCTACTGAGGCTACCTATGGGTCATGACTTAAAACTCTTTAAGTCATGGTTTTATTTTATCTTTACAACAACCCCAGTATTACTGGGCAAAAAATTTACTCCTGCTTCCCTTATTTCATTTGATTCTCTAGGAGGGGACTATTTGGGAGAAGCCTTTGGGCTTTTCAAGTATACCTCTTATGTACATCTTACTGCTCAGTATGAGTTCGGAGTAGCTGGTGATTGTAAGAGAAAGACAAGCAGCTGCAGCTCCTTCCACGGAGGCCTGTTCTCCAGCCCAGGGACTTTCTGCACTTTCTCACTCTAAGCTCACTCTGGAGACCTTTGCCCTGTACTGTTAGGGTTTTGACATGTTCCTCAATTTAGTTTCATCAGTAACGACATAGTTCTTTATCTGAAACTCCTGAGGCCAGGTGGGTTTCGAAATTCAGAAATTTGTAGATTTTAGGAGGGTTATATTTTTCATTTGCAGGCTCTAAAACAACTCTCCATCATTAAGCACATTATTATCTGGACAGTTAAAGGTAGGAATAGTCACATGGGTCAATTAAGGTTGTGTCATGTCAATTCAGGTCAGATTTTGTCAAAAGAGTTACCATGCTGGGAATTTTGTTGTCAAATGAATTACAAAACACATTTGCTTTTTAGAATTTTATGGATTTCTGAATTGTAGATAAGGGATTGTTTGGCTATACTTTGGCCTCCTACTGTCTAACTCCTTTGTCTGCTTTCTCCGTTGGTTCCTGGCTGAGAGAGAGGAGGGCACGCTATTGTAAGTGGCAAAGTCTGAACTGAAACCCAGTCATTAGGAGTACTGCATTTGTGCCTTTAACCACTGTCTTTTTATAAAAGTAGATAAAAATAACTAAATAAATAAAAATTTAAAAAAGTAAAAGTTTGTTTGTTTTTGGCAGTGAGGGGCATCTTAATTTCTAGCAACATCTCGTTCTGATTAGAGAAGAATGAAATTCTTCAGAAAAAGAATTTCTATAACATAGAAAAAGCAGCACAAAAAATGTCACCTTTGTGCAGTTTCTTCTAAAGAGAATCCTCCGCATTAAATCCTGTTTGCACAGTATCATTCTCCTGATACAGCACCTTCAACATTAGGCAGTGATTGTGTTTGCACTGTCCTGACTTCTTAACTATGGTTGGCTTTTCATGGAATTCAATCTGGAAATCAATGAAATTTGCACACAGAATCCTCCAACATTCCTCCTATACTGGTAAACAGTCTCACATTTGCATTACCTCATTTATTCAGCACAACAAACCTGTGAGAAAGAGAAACATTTTACAAATGAAGAAATTAAGGACAGGAGTAACTTCTCCAAGGTTACTAAGTTGTGGCAAAATTGGCACAAAGACACAGAACATTTCTTCCTGTCCCTTTCCCTCTCTAGTCCCCCCAAGTCCAGTGCTGCTATAACCACCTCTGTTTTTTTTTTTCCTAAATATTTATGTATAGAACAACTGGGGTGCAGGCAAGAGGTGGCAGAGGTGAGAAGATTCACCAGAGACAGAGTGGGGAGCAGAACAGGCAGATTGACTGAAATACACTGCTGAGGGGAGCAGCGGGCGAGACAGGAGAGGTCTGCTGCGCTATGTGGCTAGCTCCCTGGCCGGGGATTGAACTTGTGCTGCAGTGGCTGTAGATTGCTTCATAGTGCTGTGCTTAACCCCTTGCACCACCAGGGAAGCCCATAACCACCTCTATTGTGTAAAAGTTGGAGGGATAAGTTCCTGCATACCAGGAAATGTAGAAGTTTGTTCATGTAAGGAGCATCAGGTCAGGCCATGCCGATTACAACTTATTTCATGTATAGCTGCATTTGCTTGGCTAAATTGCTGGTGAAGTTTCCCCAAAACAGCAAATTCAAGTTGATTCTTATTTCATTCTTAGATTTTCCGCTTGCTATAAGAGAACAAAGAAAATTTGTGTTCTGTTTCTTACTATTACAATAGTGTTTCAAAACATTTCATTATAAAGTTTTAAAGAATAATAATGATCACTTGAAGAGGATAATATTGATTATATTCACCACCCACCTAGAATAAGCTTAAGCTATATGTTTGCTTCAGATTTTAAATAGTAATATCACAGTGAATGTTTCCCCAATCCTATTTGTCTTTTGCACAGCTCAGAAAAAAAAAAAAAAAAGGTTGCTGACTAGCAATGTAAATTTTTTATTTTAATCTATATTTGTATAGTACTTTAACATTAAAATTTTTTAAATACAAGATTTTTTATTTTTATATAAAAAGATACATTTGGGCCTCCCTGGTGGCCAGGGGTTAAGTCTCAGCACTATTACGCCATTGCAAGCCACTGTGGCATGAGTTTGATAACTGCCCAGGGAGCTGACATCTCTTGTCTCCCTCACTGCTCCCCTCAGTATTGTATTTCAGTAGATCTACCTTTTCTGCTCCCCACCCTGTCTCTGGTGAATCCTCTCACCCCCTGCACCCCAGGTCTACACCCCAGTTCTTATATGCATAAATAAATCTTTAAAAAAAGAAAGATAAATTCAACATTTAGATAAATATATCTATCATTTTGCAATTTGGTTTTTACACTCAATTTTGTTTTGGGATTTATGTTGGTATGTACAGCTAGTAGATTTATACCTTCAGTTTTTTTGATATTGTGCATGGAATCTTCATTTCAATTATATTTTTAATTGGTTGTGACTGGTTTATGAGAACACTATTTTTTTTTTTTTTACATTTTATCTTTTTCTCTCATTCATAACTCCCATCATATTTCATGTGTTTCTGCTGTTTTCTTCAGATTGAAAAATTATTTTTAGTCTAAAAAAATCTTCAGTCTAAAAACAGAACCAAAATTTGGTCTATTTTTCTTTCCAGTCTGACAATCTTTCTCTGCCTTTTATGTGTAGTTTTTAGTCCATTTGTATTTAACATAATTATTGACATGTTGAGTTTAAATTGACCATTTTACTATTAGTTTTCTATTTGTTTTATTATGGATCTATATCTCTATCATCTACCTATCTATAGATATAGATTTAAATATAGATATATCTTTATCTCCCTACTAATTATTGATTAATTGTGTGTGCTTTTTATTTATTTATTTTTTTAATTTTATTTTTATATTCCCCCATACAATTGCATTCTGACCCCAATCCTTCCCCTCCCGCCCCCCACCCCCCAAAAAGTGTCTCTGGTTCATAGTTTTTTGTTGATTTTGATTTTCACTTTCTTATCTTCATTTTCCTGGTCCCTTATTTAAGTTTTCTAGATTCCTGCTATGAGTGAGACCATCCGGTATTTTTCTTTTTCTTTTTGGCTTATTTCGCTGAGCATGATCCCTTCCAGCGCCATCCATGTTGCTGCAAATTGCATGTGTTTATCTTTTTTGAATGCTGAGTAATATTCCATGGTATATATGTACCACATCTTCTTGATCCAGTCATCTATTTTTGGGCATTTGGGTTGTTTCCAAAGCTTAGCTATTGTAAACAGTGCTGCTATAAACATAGGAGTGCAGGTGCTCTTTGGAATTGATGTTTCTGTGTCCTTTGGGTAAATACCTAGGAGTGGAATTGCTGGATCATATGGAAGCTCTATGTTTAGTAGGTCCAGAAATCTCCACACAGCTCTCCATAGTGGTTGGACCAGTTTGCACTCCCACCAACAGTGCAGAAGAGTTCCTTTTTCTCCACATCCTCGCCAACATTTGTTGTTGCTAGTTTTTTTAATATGTGCCATTCTCACTGGTGTCAGATGGTATCTCAAGGTAGTTTTGATTTGCATTTCCCTGATGACAAGTGATGTTGAACATTTTTTCATATGTCTTTTGGCCATTTGCATTTCCTCTTCAGAGAAGTTTCTTTTTAGCTCTTCTGCCCATTTTTTGACTGGATTATTTTCTTTGTTGTTGCTGAGTCTCATCAGCTCTTTGCAGATTTTTGTGATCAGTCCTTTATCATTAGTGTTGGGTGCAAAAATGTTCTCCCAGTTGGTGGGGTTTCTCTTTGTTTTTGTTATTGTCTCTTTTGCTGTGCAGAAGCTCTTTAATTTGATGTAGTCCCAGCTGTTTATCTTTCTCTTCACTATCACTGCTTTGGGTGATGTGTCTGTAAAGATGTCTTTGATGTGCAAATCCCGTAGTGTTTCGCCTATATTTCCTTCTATGTATTTTATGGTTTCAGGTCTTATGTCTAGTTCTTTAATCCATTTTGAGTTGATTTTTGTGTATGGTGTGAGGTAGTGGTCAAGCTTCATTCTTTTGCATGTAGTGACCCAGTTTTCCCAGCACCATTTATTGAACAAACTTTCTTTGCTCCAATGCATAGTCTTTGCTCCTTTGTCAAAGATTAGTTGACCATAAATCTGTGGGTTTATTTCTGGATTTTCTATTCGATTCCATTGGTCTGTATGTCTGTTCTTGTTCCAATACCATGCAGTTTTGATGATTATGGCTTTGTAGTATAGTTTGAAGTCTGGGAGTGTGATGCCTCCATTTCCTTCTTTTTTTTTCAGTAGAGCTTTGGCTATTCGGGGTTTTTGGTGATTCCATATGAATTTCATCAATAATTGTTTATGAGAACACTATTGATTTGGAATCAATGAAACTTTCTGAACTCATTTATTAGTTCCAATAGTTTGTGAACTCTGTTGGAGTTTCCATGTGGGTAATCATCTGAAAAACAAACAAACCAACCAACAGGCAAGCATTTTTAAAATGATCATATTTCTTAGTGTGACCTGCTACTTGACATAATAAAAAGCTCCCAGGATATCTAATTTCTAATGTGAAATCACTCTCCAATACCTACAAGCATATGTTCCAATGCAAGTATTCAGGAAGTTCCTCCTATTCCCCATCCTGAATGTTTTTTAAGAAACATAATTATAACCATGTTCTTTTGCTGTGTCACCCAAACACCTTATTCCCTGATTGTTGGTGTAATTTCAAATAGGACACCACATGGTCAAAGAGTTAGGAGCAGATGGGTGGTTTTTATTTCAAGAAGCACATATTACTCCTCTTAAGAATATCTGTAATTTAATAGAACTGTGGATTTTTTTGGAGAAATAACCTTTAGATTCAGAAACCTCCTAATCATGATTCTTTGTAAGAAGATTGGAAGAAAGGTGGTTTTTTTGGTCAATAAAATGGGTTGGAGAAGAGTTGTGAGTTCAACATCTTCTGTTCCTTTTTCAGAGAAGAGTAAAGTGTCACATAATGAAAGTCAAGGTCAAAGGCTCATTATATCTATGGCCTTTTATTCTGATCATCTACCAGTGCTGGGAAAAAAGATCAGTAGTCCCCTGGGAAAGCATAGCCTGGTTTCCATGTGAACCAAAAGCCAGAACTTGAACTGGATGTCCTTTCTCATTATTTTGAATGAGCATTGTTGAAGGACATTTTTCCAAAAGTCAGTTCAATAGAAGAAATATCAAATAAACTCTATGTGTCAATTAGGGTTCTATGAAAGCAAACAGTAGAAAGTAGCTTATTTAAGCAAAAAGGTTATTGGATATATTCTAGGTAGCTCAGAGTCAAAGAAGATGTTGAACACTTAGGCCTCAGGAAGAGATGAAGGCACCTGTGGGAACCTGGGTAACAGGAACAAGAGGGCAGTCTGTTCAGAGATGCCACATGGCAGCTTTACTCATATTCCTGTCTGTGTCACTCTAGACGACATCCGGACTTCTGAAACAGAGTCACTGACTTAAGGGGGCCTCCCTGGTGGTGCAGAGGTTAAAGTCTTAGAGCTATCAAGATATCCACCAGCCACTGCAGTATGAGTTCGATCCCCTCCCAGGGAGCTACCCACGTGGCATATTAGACCTCTCCTGTCTCACTCTCTGCTCCCCTCAGCAGTGCATGTCAGTCAATCTGCCTATTCTGCTCCCCACTCTGTCTCTGGTGAATCCTCTCACCACCACCCACCCCCACTCTCTGGCCTACACCACAGTTCTTATATGCGTAAATAAATAAAATATTTTTTTTTTTTTTTAAAAAAGGGAGTTACTGACTTACTTGACTTGTGCCATGTGGTCCCTACTTGGAACATGTATTGATGGACTGAAGGAGAGTGTCAGGAATAACATCTTTATTTCCATGTCCTTCTAGGACTACATGTCTTGAAGAAGGGGAAGTTCCCAAGGAAAATCAGGATTTCTTACGCAACACCCAAGAAAGGGGGAGAATTACTATACAGGAAGACATGACAGATATGTAACAATAGTCTTTTTTATCAAAGTTTAATACAGCAGTCTCCTGGTAGAATCTTTGGCAGTGGCCCCAAAGGGATTTAGGACTCTAGAAAGATGACTCCATGAAAGTACATTTGAGAATGCTGGGGAGGGAACATCCATCAGGTCCACTGGGGCCACTGGGCTGCCAGCATGGACCTAAGTTCTCTTGGAGAAAGTAGCTTATCATACAGATGCGTAATGAGGTGGCACCTTTTGAGAAGAGTGTGACTGTGGGCACTACTGGGTAGATTGACCTAGAAGATCCAGCAAAACAAAAAGATCCCCTGAATTTAAAAAAACAACAACAAAAGAAAAACCAAGAAAACAAAAAAACTTTTAGACTATTGTTTGAGTAGTTAGCTCCCCCTGTCTTCCACTTTGACACTTCATTGTGACTACATAGCCAAAATTTCCTCCTAAAACACCTCTCCCATCCTCATTTTGCTGCTCCTGCTGCCTTTGCCTGTAGAGCAGGTAAATGTGCTGGGCCTCATGGATTCAAATTCTGATTCTTCCACATACTTTCTGGATAACACATGCTCTAATCTTGGTTGGTATGCATGAGTGCTGCTGCTCTACAAGTGCAACGCTCTAATTTTCCCTCCTTTTTATTTTTTTAAGATTTATTTATTTATACAAGAGCTGCGGCACAGATTAGAGGCACGGGAGGGTGAGAGGATT